ACAAACAAATATTTCCTCTTCATAATGTTAGTATAGAGTATAGATATGTCAAGGGCGGTCCCCGGGATCGAGTCATACACGGCGTTCCATATCAAAACAGCCGACAACAGATCCCCGGGGAAAGGTACTTGTTACACAGTTTAGTTTGGATCCATGAATTTACTGCGACTTAAAAATAGTCAATAACCATAAATTGCGAGAGCAACACGACCGTTAGTAACGAAATGTTATTAAGCGGGAGATTGGCATAAATTACGGAATATATCGAAACATCCCTGGGACGGGGCTCGGTTTAATGTGGCGTGAAAGGCGCCGGGCCGTGAGATCTGTACCGGGAGATAAGATCGTCAAACGATAAGGGCTTTCGATTGGAGTGTAATAGATTTGTTTGGCGTAATATCGGATATGTTGGATTCGAATTTTCCTGATTGCGTGTTTGTAATTGTTTCTAAAATAATTAGTCGTGGCTCAGAGGAATAATATTAAACATCCGACGTCTTAGACCGCCCATTATACTTTTTTGTATTGAATATTTTTGCGTTTTTATTTATTTTGGTGTATAACAGAGCATACTCTCTCTTAATTAATTAATTGAAAGTAATCTCTTAATTGAAAGCCTTTTCGATGTAGAAACGCAGTAAAAACAGACCTCAATCTGGTCTGGTGGTCTGCATAAGACTTTGTCAACGAATGCAATAAAGAAATTTCACAAATGTTCTTGAGTGACTTTCATAATGAACTGATAACATCGTATATCATAAACGAAGCCCACACAATTCAATTCGTGATGGTGGGACATACCACAGGACTTCAGTGGTAGGCACCACCGTTTTTTTTTTATGTTAAGTGGTTACTGGAGCCCATAGACATCTACAACGTAAATGCGCCACCCACCTTGAGATATAAGTTCTAAGGTATCAGTATAGTTATAACGGCTGCCCCACCCTTCAAACCGAAACGCATTACTGCTTCACGGCAGAAATAGGCGGGGCGGTGGTACCTACCCGTGCGGACTCAAGACAAGACAAGAGGTTCTACCACCAGTAATTACGCAAATTACAATTTTGCGAGTTTTTTTTTTTTATTTATATTACACCTATTTCAATCATCTATTCAATCTATTTCTGCCGCAAAACAGTCGCGTTCCATTCAAAAGACCGGGACAGTCGTTACACAGTTGATACATCGACCTCGTGTCTCAAGGTGAGTGGCCGTGTTCACGTTGTGATGCCCATTACCTCTACAAATTTAACACCAGGAAATTCTCTAGCTTGTTCACCCACAACAACTTAAGAAATAAGCACAAACATGACTTTGATCTGTGCGCCTTTATTTCAACACTAGCGACCCGCCCTCGCTTCGCTTCGGAAACATTAAAACACACATGAAACTAAAAAAAAAAAATTAAAAAAAAAATTAGAAAAAGTAGCCTATGTTCATCAGGGACAATGTCGGCTTCTAATGGAAAAAGAATTTTTCAAATCGGTCCAGTAGTTTCGGAGCCTATTCGAAACAAACAAACAAACAAATCTTTCCTCTTTATAATATTAGTATAGATTAATCTATGTATTCATGCAAAGAACAAAAGGAAATAAATGCTGAAGAACTCATTGACGTTTCCTCTTTAAGGTAAATAAGTAATATTGCTTGGGGCCAAGTCAGGTCTCCCGAATCCGTATTGGAATTGTCGATCAACGATTCGCTCTTTGATTCCAGATTAAAAGTCAATCTTATACAGACTTATGAGAAATTGTACATTGATTTATCTGTGGTTTGAAGTAAATCTCTCGAATTAATTAATAGTTTTCTATTGAGACAAATTAATGTATCATAGAATAACTAGCGTGACATTCATTACTTGTGTAAAAGTATTTCTTAAACGGACATAAGTGGTACGGTCTTTGCCACGTACCATCCGGCTATGGAATGAACTCCCCTCAACGGTGTTTCTCGAGCGCTATGACATTCCTTCTTCAAACGAGGCTTGTGGAGAGTATTAAGCGGTAGGCAGCGGCTTGGCTCTGCCCCTGGCATTGCTGTAGTCCATGGGCGACGGTAACCACTCACCATCAGGTGGGCCGTATGCTCGTCTGCCTACAAGGGCGATAAAAAAAACCACTTAACACCAGGTGAGTCGTGGGCGCGTCCACCCATCTAAGCAATAAAAAAAATCACTAAACAAATCCTATACTAAATGTTTTACGAAATTTTTAACTATAGACCCCACTCACACTATTGTCTGGATCCAACCTGTGACGCAGCAATAGAGAAAGCCAAAATACAATTATATGATTATGAGTAAGTAACTAGACGCTTGCAAATTTAAATTATTCATTATTTAAATAAGAATATATTTTTTTTTATTGCTTAGATGGTTGCACGAGCTCACAGCCCACCTGGTGTTTAGTGGTTACTGGAGCTCATAAACATCTACAACGTAAATGCATCACCCAACTTGAGACATAAGTTCTAAGGTCTCACGGCTGCCCCACCCTTTAAACCGAAACGCATTACTGCTTCACGGCAGAAATAGGCAGGGCGGTGGTACCTACCCGCGCGGACTCACAAGAGGTCCTATCACCAGTAAGAAATGAATTGAATAAATAAGTAAAGAATGAATGAATGAAAACATATGCCTATCTTAGTGACTCCTTCAATGTAATTCTGATTCTAGATCAAAATGTTTCATCCACGTTATAAATACATTCTCAAATTTCGGGGTCTCCATAACGTGAAGCCTCTCGGTTGAATGACCAGAGTTAATTGACTTTATTATACAATATGTATCCGTTTGTTTTCATTAATTACTTTTTGTTTTTCTTTTTATTTTTATTATGTTGATTTTAACACCGTATTTCATGATACAATGAAACAGCGTATTCGTTGTCGACTCTTCGAAGATGATTATCATCAGCACTTGAATCAACTTTTAGAAATACGTTCGTAAGAAAATATAATATAATATAAAAAAAAAAGTGTGGCACTCTGGAACTGCCATGGTAAAGCTATTGGATAGCATTTTTTATCAACTTAAGCAATTATAATTAGACAATGATAATTTAATATTAAAACAATAATAAAACAAAACCACGTTATATTAAACATTAATAAAAGCAAAACCTTAACTGTCCCCTTCACACTCATAAGCTAGACCGCGCGAGAGAGAGTTGGGCAGAATTTTCATGATGCGCATACAGTGTGACGTCACGCCACGCGCTTATTCACAAACACTACACAAGCGCAATGTGTGAATGTGTTGAACGCGAGCTACATGGTAGGCGGAGTGAGGGGTGTAAGGTTTTTTTCGTTACGGAATTTCATGATTCGGTCGCCGCGCTCAAGGCCCGCGATAAATCTATGCAATAGCTTAAAAGAAATATTGTTTCAGCCTAATAATATAGTTTGGATACTTGTGTATTGTTTGGAAGGTATGATTCCATGTTAGGCGTATCACATTTATGATCTTAGGTAGGGTGTCGGGAAAATATGATGCCAAATAAAACCAGATCTATGACTATGGAATATTTGTGGAAGCAAGCTTTTGAGCCTTAACTGGGCCTATATACAATACAGAATACAGAATATCTTGCAGATATTTTGGAAATCTTCTTCAAACGAGGCTTATGGAGAGTATTAAGCGGTAGGCAGCGGCTTGGCTCTGCCCCTGGCATTGCTGAAGTCCATGGGCGACGGTAACCACTCACCATCAGGTGGGCCGTATGCCCGTCTGCCTACAAAGGCAATAAAAAAAAAAAAAAAAAATCTGATCTGAAAAGAGAATAGATATTCCGGTACATTTGACGGTACAAATGAGGTGATCATGTCTAATATATAATATGAATATCAAATCTACATAATAATATAATATAAAATAGTATAATAATAATTGCAATATCGCCCCTTTATATTTGTCATTTTTCAGTTTCGATTTTAAAACACTTTAAGCCTTAAACCGCATACTTTAAAGTTTAAATTAATTATTTAAAGGAGACGGAAAGTAACGCTTGATTTAAAAGAGACAAAAAGTGTACTTTGTCCTTTTCTAGACAAAAATTTTGATTTAATTTTTAAATTAAAAAATAATAATTTTATAAACTTATAGAATACATGTTTATAAATCATTCAAAGTGTAAACCTCATTTCTTAAATTTATTAGTTTAGCAACTTTAAAGCTGCTTTCAGACTACGGTATACTATAGCGCCATATAGTATAGCAGCGTATACTTAGCCAATAATAATAGCCCTCTTACACTCACTCACTCATGCTCAGACTCATTACACAAAGAGGGTACATTAATACATTCATTTCAATTTTTTTTTTGTTAATTTTTATATTTTCAAGTTTACATTTTGTCACTTTTATAAAAACCATGAATTTCAGTGTATTTTTTGTCTATTAACTTTCTGTTTCTGTGTATGTGAAGTAACGCTGTACTTTATACGAGGTGCATTTCTGCTTGAGGTTTTATCACCTAGTTCAAGCACAGATGCACATTATGCTTGTGTTTCTACTTCTATGTTAATAATAAATAAATAAATAAAAAAATATATATAGTGCAGTACAGTGAATATATATTATTGAACGTGTCCATAACAATGTACGGTGCGCGATATTAATGTGCTATGAGTCACGTACTATATGCGTATATTATAGCGTAACCTTTCTTCTTTCTTCGGTTTCCTTAATATGAGGGTCGTGACCACCTCCTCGCAACAAGAGTTTATTAAGGACCATTCCACGCCATTTGCCTCTATCTGCCGCCGAGTGTAGAGCATCGTGGACTGTGGTGTCGAGGGTACTGCGGATCTGGTCAGTCCAACTTGTCGGGCCTCTACCTCGTGGTCTTCTTCATATATATATCACGCTATTGTATTAAAGCGTAGCCTAAAAGCAGCTTAAATGTAAAGGTGCGATATGTTATTTTGCTTTCGCGTTCGTTGTCATAGCAAAAACGGTTGCCATGGTTAATTATTGTTACATCGATCAAGCCACACAAGAGGCACGCAAAGCTAAACTAAAAACCGTACTAAGATATTTGAATCTAGTATCCGAAAATGGTATTGTTCCACGTAAAAAGAGGAGATGAAAGTCAATTCCTCTATCAGACAGAGGTCGAAAAGCCCGTTGATGATGTGGTAAAAGACATTGTGGCGATTTTCAATGGAAGGCTGAAGGTTACCAGAATATGTCATGAAATGGAAGAGTTAGCAGATCACGGAACTTTCCTTCCTTTGGAGATGCAGGGATTGACCGAAGAACAGGTTAGCTATATTCTTTTGCTCTCTCCTAATAAGTACTGGTGGTAGGACCTCATGTGAGTCCGCACGGGTAGGTACCACCACCGCGCCTATTTCTGCCGTGGAGCAGTAATGCGTTTCGGCTTGAAGGGTGGGGCAGCCGTTGTAACTATACTGAGACCTTATATCTCAAGGTGTGTGGCGCATTTACGTTGTAAATGTCTATGGGCTCCAGTAACCACATAGCACCAGGTGGGCTGTGAGCTCGTCCACCCATCTAAGCAATAAAAAAACAGACTGGTGTTTTTCTTTGTGTGTTCTCGAAATGATTTTAAAATTACATGATTAAAAAGATATGATGATGACATGACAGATGACATTAAAAAGTATTCCTAACATGATATTCGCTACTCTGTATTTCAGACGACTTCAAAGACACTTACATATAATATGTAAATCAGAGTACACGAGAGCTAATAGAAAAATAACAGCTCCCCAATCTACGAAGATCTCATCGGTACTTCAAATAATTTCAGATAAAAGAACTTAAACTGGAGGATCCGTGGGCAAATCGTTGCGCTCCTCAAGGATACGTGGTTGCCAAAGACGAAATGGGTCGCCGTTGTGGTCTCGCCCCTCCACCGAACCTTAAAGCAGTACTCAAAAAAGCTGCTGAAACTGCGAAGGACATTATCAGTAAAAAGCATGTATGTATTAATTTATATATTTTAATTTTAAAAGTCGTCATGGCCTAAATGATAAGACATCCGGTGCATTCGTGTTGAGCGATGTATCGGTGTTCGAATTTTTCGGGTACCAATTTTTCTAATGAAATACATACTCAGCAAATGTTCACGATTGACTTCCACGGTGAAGGAATAACATCGTGTAATAAAAATCAAACCCGCAAAATTATATATTCACTGGTGGTAGGACCTCTTGTGAGTCCGCACGGGTAGGTACCACCACCTCGCCTATTTCTGCTGTGAAGCAGTAATGCGTTTCGGTTTGAAGGGTGGGGTAGCCGTTGTAACTATACTGAGACCTTAGAACTTATATCTCAAGGTCGGTGGCGCATTTACGTTGTAAATGTTTATGAGCTCTTACTTACTCTTATCCAGTAACCACTTACCACCAGGTGGGCTGTGAGCTCGTCCACCCATCTAAGTAAAAAAAAAAAGTGAAATCTAATGTTTTGTGATAGGAAAAAGCAAAACAATAAACAAATATAGTAACACAAATTCCCATAATTAAAGTCGAATCAACATTATTTACTCGAACATCGAAGAATTCTAAGGAAAGGCTTTCATTTATTTTGGAGTTATCAGAGGAATGTTACCGTAAATCGAAATATAGCTTATTTAACGAATATTTTCACAAACAATACGCTTAGAAAAACAAGTACGCTGCTTGTGAAAAGTAGAAACTCTGGTTCTCTCTTTTATTTTTAAAATCTTTATAGCAAACCCGGTCTTTGTTGGCCGATTTTTATCAGATCGCTACTAAACTTCTCGGAATCGTTCGCTAAGAAAATTTGAAGATTTCTTGAAAATTTCATTGAAATCGGTCCAGCCGTTTCCAGGCTTACCGGGAACTTAACTACGCACATCGACTTAAAAATATAGATTTCAAAATGATATATTTTTATATCATGTTTTTTTTAATTGCTTAGATGTGTGGAAGAGCTCACAGCCCACCTGATGTTAAGTGGTTACTGGAGCCCATAGACATTTACAGCGTAAATGCGCCAACCACCTTGAGATATAAGTTCTAAACTCTCAGTATAGTTACAACGGCTGCCCCACCCTTCAACCGAAACGCATCACTGCTTCGCGGCAAAAATAGGCGGGGTGGTTGGTACCTACTACCCGTGTGGACTCACAAGAGGTCTTACCACCAGTAATTACGTAAATTATATTTTTTGCGGGCTTAATTTTTGTTATACGTTATTATTCCATCACCGTGGATGTCAATCGTGATCATTTGTTAAGTACGTATTACATTACAAAAATTGGTACCCGCCTGCGGGATTCGAACATCGTTGCATCGCTAGATACGAATGCACCGGCCGTCTTATCCTTTAGGCCACGACGACTATGCCTAGTATTTTTTTCCTTCAAGGTGGACCTACAGGAGTGCATGACCCAAAAAGATGTAGCAAGGGCCCTGGATGAGCTACGAGGAGCAACGAAAATAGTCTTCCCAGCTGGACTTCCTCCACATGACCCGGTACGCATGGAACTGGATAACGTTGAAGATTTATCCGGGACTCAGGCTGCAAACGAAGTTATCGATCCTTCAAGAGCTTGTTTGTGGGCTTGTGGCAAGAAATTTATCAGCGGAAATAAGCTGAGTGATCATTTAGGTAATAAACATTTGAATGTTTCAGTTAATTGAAATTTGGTTTATTTAATTTTATAGCGTAAAAGCGTGTTATTATCCAGACAAAATTGCCTTTGCTGGTAAACGGTTTTATTGGACTTAGACAAGTCAAAATGAATTCACCCGTACTTTTTTATATATTAGCTCGATGTTTTAGTTACATTAAAACAAAGGTTATGCAGTCTTTGTGACCAGACTGCATCATTGATTCGCAGAACCTTTAAGCAAAATGATTATACCCGAGCGAGCTCACAATATGCCTAACAGAAGATTAGAAAATGTAGTTTAACTTAGCAAATTTTTTTTAGGATATTTCTATTTTCATTGCCCTTGTAGGCAGACGAGCATTCGGACCACTTGATGGTGAACGGTTACCGTCTCCCATGGACTTCAGCAATGCCAGGGACAGAGCCAAGCCGCTGCCTACCGCTTAATACTCTCCACAAGCCTCGTTTAAAGAAGGACATGTCATAGGATATTCTCCATTTCCAAATGTTAAATATTTTTGGATGTTGATTTCAAAGTAAAATATAAAAATTTCAGGTAAAAATGACAAGACCAAAGTAACAGTGAAGATATGCACCGCTTCCGAAGGCGCTCCGGGACGAGAGCCAATCATGTCCGAGGAAGAACGAAAGCAGTTGATGCTCCACGCCTATAGAAAGCAAGAGGAGTGGAAGAAACTGGAGTTGGATGATGAGGACGCTTATTTGGACTCGAAATGGGCAGACAAAAGGAATCTAAAAAGGCAACTGAATGGCTTGAACGATATTTCCTGGAAGCCGATTATGAAGTGAGCAGAAGATCCTGTGTAGCTTTTCGTCTCTCTTAAACATAGAAGTTAAATGAATTGTCATTGTTTGTAACAAATATATACTTTGAAGACAATTAAAGAAGGAATTAATTAATGTTTCTCTTTTTTAAAATGTTTACAGAAATAGGTTTTTAATGTTAGTATTCTAGTTAAGTTAGTAGCTGACTACAGGATATTAGGAATATCTCTGGTTTACTTTTTTATTCCTAAGATAGGTGTTCGAACTCACGACCCACCTGGTTTTAAGTGGCTACCAGAGCCCATAGATATTAGTTCTAAGATCTCAATTTTAAGAGTACAGGGGCTGCCCTACCCTTAAAACCGAAACGCATTACTGCTTCACGGGAAAAATAGGTAGGTTAGTGGTGCCGACTCACAAGACGTCCTACCACCAGTAATTACGCAAATTACAAATTGCGGGTTTGATTTTTATTACAAGATGTTATTCGTTCACCGCGGATGTCAATCTTGAATATTTTTTGAGTACGTATTTCATTAGAAAAATAGTACCTGCCTGCGGGATTCGAATATCGTTGTGTCGCTTGATACGAATGCACCAGGCGTCTTATCCTTTAGGCCACGACGACTAAAGTCATTTCACTAGGATACAATCTACATTAGAATTCTCATCGTTCCAAAAATCATGAGTCGTATGCGATATATTGCTTCTAAGTTAACAAATTTCCAAACAAAAATTCGAATTCAAATATATAAATAAACTACTGCTAATAAAAATCAAAATATTTTATATTCACATTTGTACAAACATTTGAAACGTGAATTTGTTAATCCTATTACATTACGAATAAAAGACACGGCTTCCTTTCGAAAATAGCATATTCATATTTCATACGAATACATTATTTACACTCCGTTTCACTCACAGAGTCGCTATTAGCGTTATGATGTACGACATTAAAGTGTGAGACACACGGAACACGCGTTCGTATTACTAGCTGACATACCACCATTTGTTTTCTTTGTATATATATATATTTTTTTTCCAACCAATGCTGATAGCCTTGAGAAGATATTTCAGCTTAATTACTATAAACTTTTTTTATTGCTAAATGGGTGGACGAGCTCACAGCTCACCTGGTGTTAAGTGGTTACTGAAGCCCATAGACATCCACAATGTAAATGCGCCACCCGCCTATGAGATATAAGCTCTAAGGTTTCAAGTATAGTTACAACGGCTGCCCCACCCTTCATACCGAAACGCATTACTGCTTCACGGCAGAAATAGGCAGGGCGGCTGTACCCACCCGCGCGGACTCACAAGAGGCTTACCACCAGGAAAAAACTATTTCAGCTATTGTATGAAATATTTGGCCTATATTACACAGAAAGAAGATACAAAACTTCTTGTAACTGAGCGAAAGATACTAAGAAAGATATTAGACCCAGTTCAGAGAGATGACAGTGCTTGCCAAGTCCGAAAAAACAAGGATGTGGAGAGGCTTTTTTGGTGAGCCAAATATTCTAGGGGAGATAAAGGCACGGTGGCTTGGATAGGATTGGGCTGTGAATCGGGTGTACGCGGGTGCACAGGAGGGACGCCGCTCCGTAGGGAGACCCAAGTACCGCTGGTCTGACGCTGTCGAAAGAAATTTACGTGAGCTCCCGGACTGGCAAGGTGTTGCGCAGCGCCGGGATGAATTGCGACGTTTATTGTCCGAGGCCAAGACCCACTGCGGAGTAATAACGCCAGCGCAATAGTAATAGAAGTAGTAGTATTATAATACTACTACTACTACTTATATATAGGTCTGAGAATGACCCAGAAGCACATACATGGTGTTTTTTTTTAGGATTGAATTATGGCTGGTGGCCTGGAGGCCTTTCCAGTTTCACCAGGACAGGTGGGCGAGCAAAGGCTCAGATAGGAGGGGTGGGATTTGCTAACAGCTGTCCGAGCGCCTCCGAAGGAAACCTAACAACTCAAGAGCCGTTGCTTCGCGAATGAATCTACTACCGGACTGGAATCGCGACCCGCTGAGAAGATCCGGTGAGAAACTCAGCGAGCTGACGCATGGGTTAGGTTGCACGTTGAACTCTTTGTCGGGTTCGACGAGTACGGTAACCGGGGTTCCTAAGCCTGCTCCTAGTGTTAGAGTTGAAGGCGTCTAATGCATATGTTATTGGATCTGATGGATCCGTAAGGACGTGCATGCCTGTTTGCCTGTATACACATCACGTCAAGTCGTATGTTAAGATTATAATTATTGCTTCACAATATTAATGCCTTGCCGTTGCGTGGTCTTAATGGTTTAATATTTGTTTTACAGTGTAAATTAAAAAAGAAGTAATGATTCGTGACATTAAGGGAGGTAATATTGCAGGTTAATTAATAGGTTAATAGGTAGCGTGTGGATCAAATCTAATTGAAGGAGATCCCAATTTTGTTTTAAATGATAATTGTAATATTGTAGGTCAATGATCCTAAGCTAAAATTAGTATGTCACACTTATAAAAAGTGATAAAAATAATCATAAAAAATCCTCACTGCTTCCAGTTTATTTTTGGCGTAACTAAGACCAATAAAAAACAGCATAAGTTGCCAAACATTACTATCGCTTTAAGTTCGGATATTTTAAAACGACTGTCGGTCCTAGCGGCCCGTGTGTCTCGTTCCATCAGAGAAGCCATACGTCATTCTTACGATTTCTTTTATACCTTACCGCAGCTCCCTTCCACCATCCATCACGGATTCATCAGCGCGCCGTCCTAGATTTAATCCTTTATTCTACAAAGACGTGATTTCAGTCTGTCATTTTCTCTTTTGTCATTTTCCCGTGGCAAATGAATCTGTGTTATTTTTCTAGTTTATAATCCGACTACATTTGAAAGTCATTGTTAATCACTAATTTAAATGCAGATGCATTCACTGGTGGTAGGACCTCTTGGGAGTCCGCACGAGTAGGTACCACCACCCCGCCTATTTCCGCCATGAAGCAGTAATGCGTTTCGGTTAGAAGGGTGGGGTAGCCGTTGTAACTATACTGAGAACTTAGAACTTATATCTGGAGGTGGGTGGCGCATTTACGTTTTAGATGTCTATGGGCTCCAGTAACCACTTAACACCAGGTGGGCTGTGAGCTCGTCCATCCATCTAAGCAATAAAAAAAAAAAAGATATATATTGTTTATGTCACTTACATATGTGCCAACTGCCGTACGTTGATGGTGTTATAAAGTGCCAATACCAACTGCGCAAAGCTTCAAATATCCAAGATTCTTAGTCGGGACTGTTTTACCACGGCTTCTTCCCAAAATGTTGAGGTTCCTGATTTGGGTTTAGAAGGCAGGGGCAGTCCAGGGGCAGAAGCGTATTGTAAACCAGCGTTTCAATGCGAGCGACGGAATTCACGCTATGATATCCATGGTCTGTCACAGATAAATGAACGAAACTTAAGGTTTTCACGAACATATAGGAAATTTGTCCCGGAGAAAGAATTAGCCTCTGATAAATATGATAACCGATCAAGAATATACAGGGAAGCGGGAGAGAGATTAAAACGACGAACATTATCCCTGAAGACCGGATATAACCGGATTATGGTACCCGCGACCGGCATTAAACCGGTTAAAGGCAGCTGCAGCCGGTTACATCCGGACATATCCGGTTCTGTCTTCGCTAATGAGCTACGCAATTATGTCGTCAGTCCCGGAGAATTATGCGAAATTTTGTGTGATAAATTTTGCGTGAGAGTTCTTTGAATTTGCCAAATATTTATAAAGGACACCTTCAGGTCTGATGAATTTTTGTGAAGGCTTGAAGTGTACAATGGGATATAAATTTACTTACCTATGCTGGGCAATAAGGATGGCTTGGGCAGACCGAATCACGTTTTTATTTATTTATTGCTTAGATGCGTGGACGAGCTCATAACCCACCTGGTGTTAAGTGGTTACTGGAGCCCATAGACATCTATAACGTAAATGCGTCACCCACCTTGAGATATAAGTTCTAAGGTCTCAGTATAGTTACAACGGTTGCCCCGCCTCTCAAACCGAAACGCATTACTGCTTCACGGCAGAAATAGGCGGGGTGGTGGTACCTACCCGCGCGGACTCACAAGAGGTCCTACCACCAGTAAAAGTCACTATAAATGCTTGGCCATCCGATGCTCCGATGTCCGTTGGTCTTATATTTGGCAAGCTAGGTAAGTTTAAATTGAACACATCCAAAACAAAGATTCGGTTCGCAATGAACCTTTTTACAACAAAATATTTCTCGAACATTCGCCCGTAATCACGAACAATAATTTTAATTTCAACTCGAAATAATACAATTCGGTTGATTAAGAATTCTCGGAGCGCTTAAGGAAACACGGGATTGAGGCACGCCGTGGCGTCGCTTTCTTATTTTAGCAATAATTAATTTTCTTGTTTGCTTTTCTCGTGAAGAGTACTTTCATCATTTCGTCTAAGATCGTTTGTAATCTTCTATTCCAAAGTAACATCTGCGGTCATCCACAGTGCGCTTCCAGAGATCTTTTTTGCCACGCACCATCCGACTATGGAATGAGCTCCCCTCCACGGTGTTTCCCGAGCGCTATGACATGTCCTTCTTCAAACGAGGCTTATGGAGAGTATTAANACTATGGAATGAGCTCCCCTCCACGGTGTTTCCCGAGCGCTATGACATGTCCTTCTTCAAACGAGGCTTATGGAGAGTATTAAGCGGTAGGCAGCGGCTTGGCTCTGCCCCTGGCATTGCTGAAGTCCATGAGCGACGGTAACCACTCACCATCAGGTGGGCCGTATGCTCGTCTGCCTACAAGGGCAATAAAAAAAAAAAACATATAGAACTGAATATATTTTGCGTGTTTGTTTGTTCTTTCTATGTTCAGGAGTCGTTTAAAATAGCTTCTTTTCTTAGCTAAGATCGACAATAGAGTGTTCGGATCACCCGAAGTTAGCCAGTTGTTGGAGCATCCAGAAATTTCTGATAATCACAAGATTATTCATAGCTCATCGTGATTTTATTCTTAAAGTAAAACCGACCATATAAATCGTAGTTTAATGTTTGGAATAAACACTAACTGGAATAATAAAAAAAAAAAAAAAAAAAAAAAAAAAATATTTCAAGACATCAGTCTCATATTGTGTTACTATTACAAATAATTTAGGAACTATGTTAGTATTTAAATAAATCAATCAACTCCGTCCCTGGCAGCCCCATCAAGCAGCATGTAGTACATGCAGCTTGATGAACCTACCCAGGGTCAGGCCATCCAGTCTTTCAGCTAGTACCCTCAAGACGTTGTTGGTGCTTCCTCCTACTCTACGCATAATGGATGCCACCTTGTTGCACATTATCGCAAAGTAGTCATCCGTATGCGCATCGGCGAACATGCCTGATGCACTACAATAAGGTGGAAGCCTCAACAACGCCCTGAAGGCATTATTATATTGTATTATATTATATAATAAGGAAAGAAAATTATTTAATCGATTTTAGATTTTAATTTTTCATCTTCGCCTACACGCTCACGATAATAATGGCGGCCAAGTCAGGTAAACGGTATCTAGCACCTTTAAATCGATTACAGCTGTTTCGTAAACACCTTATGCTCTAGAATCTGCAATAGAACACGAAATAACCCTGGAAACTGAGCTCCATTTGAATCGCGGAGCTCTCGTCTATTGTGAGCGCGTTGAATGATGTGTGTGACATGTCTTTGTTGTGTGTTTATGTTCTGTGGACACGCATTACACGTTTGTTATTATACGCTGTACCAGTTTCTTGGTTACACAGTATATTGTTCGTCTAGTGGCCCGCTCCGGCTCCGCTCGGGTCTTTAACAAAAATTTCAACGATATTTGACGTTGTTTTATTGAAGTGAAACTTCTTTATCGACGTAGGGAGGAAAAAAACGTATGTAACGTTTTTCGGTTACGCGCCATCTTAATTTCTTCCGTTACGCGCCATGTTTATTTTATTTTTACTTAGTCTGTTATCAACAGATGTCGCTTCACGTAAATTCAACAATTCCTGAATCGCGGTGACGAGATTAATAGATGTTCTCGTATTTCTCTTGCTAAATCATACCTACCTGGCGTCGAGATACCGTGGTCATGCAAGCGGTTTCCCCAAGGTGCGGCTGCTCCATTGCACTGCGGAGTGGTTGACCCTTGCGATTATTTGTATACCTAGTCAGGTCATAAATTCTGTCACATGTTTAATGTAAAATAATTGAAACAAGTTTATTCATTATGTAACCATTCATATACCAAAATGAACTTAACAAAACATAGATTCTTATGACACTAAAGTTTATTCAAAATAACCTCCGTGATTTTGAATACAGGCCTTCAATCTGCGCGGCCAGTCGTCTATCGCAGCACGAACGAGGTCCATGTCAATATCGGCGGCTGCCTTAATCAAGGATGTCTTGAGTGACTCCAAATTGGGATGAGGCTTTGAGCACGCCTTTTCCTCCAAGTGTTGCCATATCTTGTAATCTAACGGATTCAAATCTGGACTGGAGGAGGGCCAGTCTTCGTGCCGGATGAAGTCGATTTCACGCGCCGCCAGCCAGTCTTGTGTGCTCTTCGCTCTATGAGCTGGCGCCGAATCTTGTTGGAATACCCAGTGCCTGTTATTGAACATGGTATGAGCAACAGGTTCCACAAGGTTCGTCAGGACTGTATTTTGATACACAACTGCATTCGTTTTTACACCTTTCTCACAAAAATGTACCTCTGTTAAGCCCCAATAAGAAACTCTCAACCATACCATGAGCGAGGATGGAAAATGACCTCGTTGGACACGCGGAATACGGTTACTCGCTTCTTCACTACTGTGTGCGTACACCTTATCATTTTGTTTGTTGTAGCTCTCTTCTACGGTAAAATTTTTTTCATCCGAAAAAGGAATTTCCCGATATTTTTTTCCCGCGTACCGCTTAAATAAAGCGCGGCATCTCTTCAGTCTCAGGTCCATTAGACGAGCATTCAAACGATGTCCTGTTTTTCTTCGATATGCCCGAAGCCCTAAGTCTTCATTTAACACCCTTTTCGCCGTGGTTCTGCTTAACCCCATCTGAAGGGCCAACAGTTTCTGCTTACGTTTGGAATTTCTTTGAATTCGCGCCTTCACAGCTTTTATCACTGCTGGAGTCCTAACAGACCGAGGGCGACCACTTCTTGACCTGTCATCTACACTAGAGTCTTCATTGTATCGTTTGATGGTACGATAAGCGAATCTTTTGGTTATATTCAAATTTTTCAGTATGTTAAAAATTTGAATTGGCGCGTAGCCGCAACGATGCAACGCAATAACTGCAACACGGTCTTTTTTAAGCGTCCACTCCATATTTAAAAATGAGTAAAATTCTAAAAGTCTACATTTTTATTTTCATGAACAATTCGAAATTCGAATTCAATAAACTTTTTTGTGGCCAGCATACTAAAATAAAAGTTTTTACTGTATGACAATACTTATGACCTGACTAGGTATTTTATAAGTTTCACTTCTACCGTGTGTGACTTGCACACACTCACATTTTTTTTCAAATAAAAGAACACTTATAGCGGCACTATAACAGTTAGAAAATACGGTCGTGACACTTTTTGTAAATAATAATGTATTCTACAAAGTCATAGTACATTTTTTTATTCTATCATCAATAGTTTTCGCAGAGCACGCGATGTAAAGAATATTTTAGGTATTTTTTTACACCTTGGGTTACATTATTGGAGTTTTGGTGAGGACTCCTAATTTTTTTCAAAAAGATTATAGTCAATGTCACTCGGGAATAGTGTTGCTTCCAAACAGTGAAAGAATTTTTTAAATCGGTTCAGTAGTTTCGGAGCCTATTCAATACAAACAAAGAAACAAATCTTTCCTCTTTATAATATTAGTATATATTCATACATGTTCGAAACTAACCCTTTTATCCTGCTAGGCAAACTCATTCCGCCTCCTAAAACTTTTGCAAATCGTCGTAGCGTAAATAATAAGACGTCCGGTGCATTCGTATCTAGCGATGCATCGGTGTTTGAATCCCGCTGGCAAGTACCTACCAGTTTTTCTAATGAAATACGTAATTAACAAATGTTCACGATTGACTTCCACGGTGAAGGAATAACATCGTGTAATAAAAATCAAATGCGCTAAATTATAATTTGCGTAGTTACTGGTGGTAGAACCTCTTGTGAGTCCGCACGGGTGGGTACCACCGCCCCGCCTATTTCTGCCGTGAAACAGTAATGCGTTTCGGTTTGAAGGGTGGGGCAGCCGTTATAACTATACTGAGACCTTAGAACTCTCAAGGTGTGTGGCGCATTTACATTGTAGATATCTATGGGCTCCAGTAACCACTTAACACCAGGTGGGCTGTGAGCTCGTCCAGCCACCTAAGCAATAAAAAAAACCGCTATATTAATAAACATTAACAAAAGCAAAACATTAACGGTCCCCTTCACACTCATAAGCTAGACCGCGCTAGAGAGAAATGAGCAGACTTTTCATGATGCGCATGCAGTGCGACGTCACGCCGCGCGCTTATTCACAAACACTATACAAGCGCAACGTGTGAATGTGTTGAACGTGAGCTACATGGCAGTACATGGTAGGCGGAGTGGGGGGTGTTGGGTTTTATTTTCGTTACGGAATTTCTTGATTCGGTCGCCGCGCTCAAAGCCCGCGATAAAAGCTTTGCAATAGTTTAAAAAAATCAGGGCTGATCACTGAACCAGCAATACTAATACAGTACTCCGTCGTCGTCCAGACGCGGCTATAAACATTTGAAAACCAAATAAAGTCCACGAACAGTCCATCTCTCTTGCACTTAACGACTTTATTATTCGTAAAAGCAGGATAGTCGTAGCTCTTAGTTTTATGGGCGGTTGTAAAATTGAATATCAGTTCGGAATAGCAAATCCCGAACGAATAATTATATCTGCGTAAGTGCGAAAACGTGACGGTCTAGTTGTGCTTCGTTTGATATAGAACAAGTAACTCGCACGGCAGAGTCGAGTGCAACATTTAGTAGAATAGTTTAGTGACCAGCGCTCAAACGAATTGGGTATTTTCGTATTTTATACTCGCATTATATTGCAGAGAGCTCTCAATACAGTTATGATTTTCAGATTTTTATTGTCTTCGATTGACTTAGATTAGTTTACAGCTTATCTCCTTTTAGGCACTAATTTCACCACCCTAATTCTTAATAACAACATAGTCGCTTACAAGTTGATTCTTTGGGTGTAAATTAATAGATATCCATATGAAACTGAAAAGAAATCGCACAACGTCGAGTTGGTGTTAAGTGGCAATGCCTTAGCAATGATGTTGCCACAAATGTAGTTTTGACGTAAGCAATTTACGTATGTAAATTTGGCGCTAATGTAATTAAAATAAAAAATCACACACGTCCTTTTGGCGATGGTATTTTGAAATTTATCTCCTCAGTTCACTTGTAGAGTAATCTATTCTTTCCTATAATTATTATAGCTATTGAAAAAGTGGCTGTCAATAAACATTGTTATTACTAATTCGCGAGTAGGGTGAGTTCGTTCGAAGGCAGCATAACACTCTTTTATTGTCGTCACGCTCGGAACGGTCGACGTAAGATTTTTCCTTGCCCCTCCTTGCCCCCTCAGTATTGAGGTTGAGATATTGAAACTTTGACTAGACTTCCCGGCGCTTTCGCTATTTAACACTTGACTTTAGACCGTGTGAATATACATATCCAGGGCGAAAGGTTATGTGATTTAAGCGACATTTTTGCAACTTTACAGGAGAGCCATTTAAAGTTTGCGATTTGGAAAAAATATCATGGCAAAAAAACTTTTTTAGCCATTTGGATAGGGTAAACATAAAGTTCAATTTAAAACATCGAATTTTGAATTCTAATCTATACTAATATATTATTATAAAGAGGAGAGATTTGTTTGTTTGTTTGTATTGAATAGGCTCCGAAACTACTGAACCGATTTAAAAAATTCTTTCACTGTTTGGAAGCTACACTATTCCCGAGTGACATAGCTTATAATCTTTTTTGAAAAAAATTTGGGATCCTTACTAAAACTGCAATAATATAACCCAAGGTGAAAACAAATTACCTAAAATATTCTTTACATCGCGTGCCCTGCGAAAACTATTGATGATAGAAAAAAAATGTGCTACGACTTTGTAGAACACACTATTATTTACAAGAAGTGTCGCGACAGCATATGTCTTACTATTATAGTAGTTATGCCAAAATAAGCGTTATTAAAAAAAAAAAAAAAACAACTTCAAATATCGTTCAAATTTTTGTTAAGAACCCGAGCGGAGCCGGAGCGGGCCGCTGGTACCAAATAAAACGGACCTTTAATTACAAATATAAATGCCGTATATTAAGCGAAATGTCACTCAAACCAAATGACCTTACACCCCTCGATATACGAGTATTAGGCAGAAAAAAGTTATAGTCGAATTACAAAACGTTGACTGCAAATATAATATTTTTCGGTTTATTTCTAGAAAAAATATAAGGTATTTGACGGACGCCTGAATCTCGCTAACAATGTTTTCTTTTATTTTTTTCCTACCTATGCTATAGCCTTGAGAGGCTATTGCAGCGTTGCCCTAGCGTGTAGGTGAGCACTCGGGACTCAAACTGGAGGTGTTGTTAACACTGGCCCTAGCAAGAGCAGTGCTTCGCAGAATCTACCACCGGATCGGAAACGCGACCCACTGAGAAGATCCGGCGAGAAACTCAGTGGGCTGTGTCTATGGGTTAATTCGCTCGTCGAGCGACGAGAACGATGTCCGGTGCTTGGCGTATCTAAAAGCACCGTTACTGGATCGGGAGGATCCGAAATGACGTGTTTTGGGCGACGTCGACAGTTTAAAATATTTTCAAGATTGGTTTGTATGTATCGTATGCAAGTTCAGAACAACAATATTTGGACCGTCGGTCCGCCGAGCAGTTTCACCCGCTCAGTGGAAGATTTTCCCTTTGTCGTTAACACCCTGAAAAAATCTAGAAAATAGTATTTATAAAAAAAATGATTCATCTGACAGTTGCATAGGGAGACAATTATTGTAAATATTTTATTGACAAATCAAATGTAAAATAATTATACCATATCTTAAAAGCACCCCACGTTTTTGTTTTACGATAATATCATTTTTCCCCAATTACAATGCTTTTTCAAAATTGTCCTCTTTTTAGTTCAGCTAGCTACAAAAGGGTGATTTTAGTGTTTTTTTTATACTAATATT